AGGGGCAGAGGGAGAGGGAGAGAATCTCAAGCAGACTGCTGAGCATGAAGCCCAGCGTGGGGCTCAGTCTCACAACCTTGAGATCACGACCTGAGCCAGAACCAAGAGTCGGATGCTCAACCAGCTGCACCACCCAGGAACTCGAAGCAGTACTCCAGCATATTAACATATGCTATGAATCCCAATGACAATGTCTTACCTAACTTTTCCTTTTTGTGCCTTGGCACTTCAGGAAGATGGACATTGAGAGACAGCTTTGCCTTATTTCCTTGTTAGCCTGGACTGGTCAGGAAATCTGGCCCCCTCCCCTCATTAGGTCTTTCTTGGAGTTATCCCCTCACCACTTGATGGGAAACTTACTTGGTGTCAGGCGGGAGGGAAGACTAGCGACTCTTGTGTTCCTTTGACTTGGGGAGGGAAGGAAGAGAAGGACGGCTACATCATACATTTGTATGGTTTAATTCTAGACTATTAAACGCATTTTTTGTTCTCCGGGAAAATATCCACTGATGGTGAGTTCAGGAGTTGATGCAGGCTGGGGAGGGAGGTAGAAGCCGTAGTATGCGTAGCAGATACACATAGTAGAGCAAAACCAGAGCAAGCCGCGTTTGGAGACACTTTATTGACAGGAACAGGGTATTTCCTGAAAAACACTACATACTGGCATTAAGTTGTGGAGCGAGTGGGTGATCAGGAACAACATTTCTAGAGTTCAGAAAAAGATTGGCTATGGAAAATCAAGAAAAAGCAAGAAAAAGCAATATGAAGGTGATGATGTGGCAAAGAGATGCATCAGTTGCAGGACCGCAAGAGTTTGCTAATTGTGTTTGATGGTGTTTCCCAAATCTACAAGCACTCGGGCTTCTGCAGCCCCCTTCCCCATCACACAAACTGCCATCAGATGCAGCTCTTGCCGGATGGTGATTCAGGGGGAAAAAGGGGTATTACCAGCTTTGAGGCTTAGCTGGCCCTAGGATAGGGGTGGAGTCTGATCTACCACAACTCAGACTTGCTTCATGTGCTTATCTACTGGGTCCTACAATAAACTCAAGATAGCTCAACATGAGTTATCTACCACGGTGGACTTCTAAGAGATTAGGAAGAACTTGGCTGATGGTATTTTTCAGACCTAAGGCCACGGGGCACACGGAGGCTCCAGATTGGTGCTCGAGACAGAGTGCGTGCAGAAACGCAGCATGGATGGATGATCGGAGGGTGAACACACCAGTACCACTCAGATACAGGGACTAGGTGAATTCACTGGATTGGGGAATCTTCCATGTACAAAAGGAGGGGAGAGGAAGGCTTTTTTTGTTCGTTGTATTTTTCCATTTCTATGTTAACTGGGGAAAGGGGAACCAAGATCTGAAATGTGTCTGGCTCTTGCATCTTCCTGTAGAGATGCCAATTACACAGCCTCTGCCCTCTGATGTCAGGTAGGTTCACAGAACCTGGGTTGGGTGTACTTTCCTTTTTGATCTAGTGGTTTTGTCGGGAGCTACCACTGTCTTCTTAACCATTCCCTGCTGCACACGTTTCTCCAGCATGTTCCTGCTTTGAAAAATTCCTTTCCTACTAACCTGTCTAGTTGGGCATCGAAAGAGAAAGCAGAAACTCAATCAGAAATCTGGATGTGTGGATGTTGGGGGATGGAGGAAGTAAAAGATAATGGTTTTAAACAGATTGAAAGTAAAGGTTGGGGTAGGGACAGGCCCTGACTCACAGTATTAACATGCAGGAGTTGGGGCTGTGCTCTAAGACTGAACTGGCAGTAAAGGTCAGTAGGGCAGAGTGTCTACAGTGCCAACCAAGTTGAGCAATCAAGTTCTTGGCTGTTACAGCAGTAGGAAAAGAAAAATCAGACCCAGCCTGGCCTGGCCTTCAGTGAATTGTGTTATTGAGGGATCAGTCATGGGAAATACCCAGCACCAAGACAACAGATGGGGTTCCTAAAGTAGTAATAGCCCTTGAGAACATTTCTAAGCCCTTGCATAAGAACAACATGCCAAATGAAGTTTCCAGAGCAATGCACATTTGGTCTGGCTCCCCCAGGAATATGGGGAAAAACAGAACGGGGAGGATTTGAAGCAGGTTGGGGATCACAGTACCCTTAGTTTTGTAGTCCCGATCAAGTCTCCCAGGAAGGAGTTGAATTGCCATTCAGGAGGAAGAGCGATGTGCGAACGAACTAGAAAGGGAAAACCAAAATGAGATAGAGTCTCAAAGCACATCGCAAGCACCTGCTAAGAAGCAAAGTGGCAGAGGAGCTGTTGAGTGGGGTCAAGGGCGAGAGATGTCCAACACCTCGGAACATGCAAGAGAGGCGAAGATGAGATGGACGTTCCACAATGAGAGGAAAGGAAGCAGCTGTGGTCTGAGTGGAAAGGGAACTGGGCCAGGAGTCCGAAGAAGACCTGACCCCAGCTCTCCACTTACCAGCTGTATGAATGTAGGATGTGGCAAAGCTGCTTAGCCTCAGACAGCCTCAGTGTGCTCATCTGTTACACAGGTATCAGTAATACCCACCTCACAGGGCTACTTGTGGAGAAGACTTAAGGTAGTGGAAATGAAAGCACTATGTAAGCCATATTGCTCTAATGACAGGATTAAGGATGAGAAGGGTGGAGAAGTTAGAAAAAAAAAAGATTCCTTGAAAGATAAAGAAGGGAAAAAAATGATAGGTGCATTGAGCTCATTAATAAAAACCACTCAGGAAATACCTGGGTTGAGCTTTTTAAAAAGAAAAAAGGCAGCCATCATGCATACTACTTGACAACGAGTTAGATGCATTGTCTACTGGAAGCAAGAGCAGGGTGGGCTCATAGTAAGTAGCTTACTTCTGCTGTAAGCTTGGCCATCCACCAGCCATGGAACTGGGAAGACCTCACAGGAATCTGTGCCTATCTGTCTTCCTAATTACAAAGTACGAAAACTGATCTATATTCTGTCCCCTATTTCAGAGGAATTGCGTGGGAAATTCCCGATTCTCAGGCCTTGAGTTTGCTGAAAGTATTTTCTTCAGTAATATTGGGCTCTTGAAGATGTGAACAAGGACTTGTTTCAAGTAGATCCCCCAAGGATGAAAGAGTTGAAAAAAAACAAGTTTGTTGGGTGAGGCCCAGAGCCAGTGGCGTGTGCTCTTTCCCTCATAATTTCCCCCAGATCTGAGGGACCTCTCACTGCCTGAGGCCTGCCACCAACATGCTTTCATAGCCCATAAAGCAGCCTTCCCCTTCCTCCTCACTAGGTGCTGAAGGACATCACACCTGGACCACTCAATTGAAATGAAGTGAGATACTGACTAAAATTTTTTCAGTGTTCCTCTGCTCTCCCAAAATCCAGAAAAAAACCCAACAGCAAGACATCATGGATTCACGGGTGAAATATTTGGAAGCCACCTAGCCCTGCCTGTCACTTCACTCATTCACGGTCATCCATCCGAGACTACAAAGCACATTTCTTAGTTTAAATATCCTTCCCAGATGCAACCTCCTTCTGGAGGATTTTTCATCTTCACTGAGGAAATTCTTCCAGTCTACCCCGTGTCCTACTCCAGCCCTTTCAGCCAGTTTCGTTACCTGACTCTATCAGAGTTAACTTCAGCCAGGCAGTCCACCCCCTGTGCTTGTGAACAAGGCATGGCCATGGCCAAGCTCACTTGCAAGGTCTTTTTAAAAACGAAATTATCCCATCTCCGAAAGTCTCAACTGGGCAGCACCTAAGGCTTAACTATGTTCCAGTTTAGTCTCTGAAGTCTCTTACTCAATTGAGCCCAGTCTGAGTCCCAGTTGCCTCCTGTAAAATGAGGAATAATACTGATCTACAGGAATTTTGAGAGGAAGAATTTAGGAATTTCTGTTCCAGTGCCCACAGGGAAATAATGCTTCCCAGCTATCTCAGGTGGGCGCTCCCCTTGGAGGGCACACACTCTTTACCCTAATAGGCTTAAGAACATGTTGTACGACTTTTAAGAGCCACTTCCATCTTTGGCTTCTTGAAGGACTGAGCCCAACTTAGGCCTTTGAGACCTATCCGGATCGAGCCCTAGAGTACCAAGTTCCGAGAATATTTTGGTCCATGCTTCGTAAGCTTTCTATCACTGAAGAATCTAGAAAGGCATGCTTTGCTCTGATGCTCTAGTCAAGTGGCCAGGAGAAAAAACTGACTTCGAGGAATCCCACTTCATGACACTCTTGCTTTAACCCGAATTAGCCGTTCCCGCTTCCTTCCATGAAGACATCCATTCACGTGCGCAATGAATGCAGCCAGTTCCAGCCAGTTAGGGACAGAGCAATGTGCCATCTCCCGCATTTGTACAGAGTCATTTGGAGCCCAGGGAAGAAGTCCAGTTGGCATGGGAGCTCCTCGCTTGAAAGCTAGAACAGGGTGAGGTTGAGTCCGCGTAGAAATGTTGGCTCCTCAGTTCTGGCAACGTCTTAGGGTGTGCAGAGGTCTGATGGAGTTAGGAAGTCAGAGGTGGAAGTTCAGACGTGAGCGGCTGTATCATGAATGAGTAGAAGGATGGATGCATGAGGGGAAGCAATGTGGCCCCTGGGGCACCCTCCTGATGCTGCTGACACCCCTGAACCTGGAATATCCAGTCCCTCAGGGTCCAGACCACCTACCAATGATAAAACAACTCACTGAGAATTTCCAGCCTGGCCCAGTCCAGCCCAGCCAAAGACTCTGACCAAATCCACAATCCTTGCAAAGGAGGGAGTGGGGGTATTACTTTTTGTCACGGTGGGAAAGAAGTTCAAGTTGCTCCAACACTCAGGCCAAAGCAATTTACCTTCTGAAGGCCTTGACGTAGAGCTCTGTGACCTGGGCATCATCGACTTAAGGTAGTATCCTGAGGGTGGGGACTCTGGGTAGGGTAGAAATCTAAGGGGTCAAATTTAAAGTCACTTGGGTGTGGATGGATACAGTCACTTGTACAAGCTGCCATCCTGATGCACCTGCCCCAGTCCTTCCCTGCACATCACCTCGGGCACACCCTTCTATTCCTCCACTGGTACCGCCGAGCTCTCTTTGTTCTCGGATGGGATGGCAAGGTAGTCAGACCTGGAGGAGGGCAGACGGGAGAAGAGAATCAGTCCTTTCGTACCCAGGGGTGGGAACCCAAGAAAAGGGAAGGAGCAGGGGCACAGGAACAAGGATGTCTGCAGAACAGCTCTGCATTTCCTTCTGCCTGTGTTTCCCAAGAGAAAACTAGAATGGCCCTTTAAGGGGGGACTAGAATACTAGGTGTTGTCTATATTTTTTTTCCTTCCACTAGCAATGCATGAATCTTCCCATTTATCCACATGGGTCTCAGGACTTCCTATTGTTAGGCTAAAATGTTGGCCACACGGCTGGGTGTGAAACATTTCCCTGATTACTGCTGACGTTGTACATCTTTTCATAAGTTTTTAGGTGATTTGGGTTTCTGCTTCTGTAATTTGACTGTTCGTTTGCTTTGCCAGTTTTTGTTCTGAGATACCTGTCTTTTTCTCATGGATTTTTCTTTTCTTTTCTTTTTAGGTTTTATTTATTTATTTTAGGGGGAGGGGCAGAGGGAGAGAGAGAGAATCAATCCTGAAGCAATCTCCCCGTTGAGCGTGGAACTCAACACAGGGCTCGATCCCAGGACCCTAAGATCATGACCTGAGCCAAAATAAAGAGTCAGTCGCTTAACTGACTGAGCCACTCAGGCACCCCTGGATTTTTCTTTGATGGTTTCATGTCCTGAAAATAGCTTCTCCTGGTCTGTTGTCTCTAAACTTTGCTTATGGATGATTCTCATAATGAATGATTGATTTTCACATATAGTGTCATGAAAATTACCCTTCCTTCCTCTCTGTGCCTTTTGTATTTTAAGAAATCCTCTCCATCCTAAGGTAATGAAGATAGGGCCTTCTATTTTCCCTTGATAGGATTTTCAAGTTGTACATTTTCCCTTGTCTTTAAATCCACTTACAATTTATTTCTCTTTAGTGTGAGAGATGGGGAATCTTCTTTTCTTGATCTATGTGGAGGGGGGCTCTTGGTTTTGCTCTCTTTGTGCTGTATGCCTATGTCAGTATGGACAAACTCTTTAATAGCTCTATAAGAAATCTTCATATCAGATAGAAGAAGGCCTACCAGCCATCTTCGCTAAATATTGTTCTTTCTTTGAAACAGGCAAACCATGGCTCATGAGCTAAGAATGATCGGAAGGGTTGCCAACCAAGAAGCAAAACCAAAGAATAATACACAACAGAGACCCTGGGGAAAAAATAGTCACTATATGGCCATCGCTTGGTTTGGACTAGTTTTGGCCCTTTGGTCTTCCATGTGACTTTTAAGATTTGCTAATTGAGTTCCTTGAACAATCCAATTGGGATTTTGATGGAAATGTCATTGAATTTACAGATTAATTTCAGAGAGAATTGCCATGTTTCCATCAGTGAGGTTTTATTCTCCCATTTATTTAGGTCTTAAGTGTTTCAGTAAAGTTTTGTAATTTTCTCCTTAAAGGTCTCACACACTTTTATCAAATGTATTCCCAGGTACTGGAGAGTGTTTGTTGCTACTGTAATGGAAATTTTTTCAAATGTTTTAACTATTTCAATGTTTTTCTAAATGTTTGTGGCTGGACTATAGGTGATTTTTATACTTTTATGTTTTGATTTGTATCTACAATCTTGTGGAATGTTCTCACTAGCTCTAATAGTTTGTCCATAGATTCCCTTGGATTTTCTATGTAGGTGGTGGAGGAGGTCATGGGCAGGACGTGGCTGTTGGGTAACCCGTGAGCTGGACTCCAGCAGTCAAGCCCCCCCCTGCCCCCCAGCTTTCCTTGGAGTGTGCATTCTACCCGCCTTCCCCACTCTCAGAAGCTGCCCCAGGGACACCGTCTTAAGACAGTGATGTGATATTAAGACTATGTGGACAATACACCTGTCTGAACCTAGTTAAGGCCTTTACACAAACCTTTAAGATTCTGGCAGGCTCATCTTGTGGCTGCCCAAGAAAAGCCTTATAAGTAATTTCTCTGGTTTATTCAATCAGCCACCTACCCGTCTGGAGTGGCCCTTCTCTTCCTTCCATCTCTCCCTGCCCTCCGATTACACCAGGGAAGCTCCAGAGGAGGTTGCCAACCAACAATAGATCATTATATTGAGTTGAATCATGATACTTTGGTGTCTTCCCTTAAAATTTTTACTCTTTTTTTTTTCTTTGTATTTACTTAGGACACTACCTGCGATCTGCTAGTTAATATTGAATAGAAGCCAGGAGACATGTTTCTAATATTACAGGCCGTTCCAACCCAGCTGGTATTTGCTGGAGGTAATCTGAGTAGCTGCCCTTTATCAGTTTAGAGACAACTGGTGTTCCAGTTTAGTATTTATCCTGCTCAGGACATGTGGTGCTTCCTGGATCTGAGGAGTCTTTCCTCAGCCGCTGTATCTCTCAATATTGTTTCTCCTCCATTTTGTCTGTTCTATCCTAATGGGTATTCTCATTTTCTTTCTTCATGTTTAATTGTGATATTCCATCCTTTTAGATCTCTGTGCTTCATTTTGTATAACTTCCTTAGGTTTATGGCCTGCTTGTCCGTATCTAATCTTCTGGTGAACCCCTCCATCAAGTTTTACATTTTATTGACTATATTTTTCATTTCCAGATTTCTTAAATTCCTATTTAAATCTGCCTGTTTGTGGGGTGTGTGGGTGGCTCAGTCAGTTGAGCATCTGCCTTCGGCTCAGGTCATGATCCCAGGTTGCTGGGATCGAGTCCCGCATCCGGCTCTCTGCTTGGCGGGGAGCCTGCTTCTTCCTCTCCCACTCCCCCTGCTTGTGCTCGCTCGCTCTCTCTCTCTCGCGCTCTGTCAAATAAATAAATAAAATCTTTAAAAAATAAAATAAACTCTGCCTGTTTGTTTTTCTTAGCAACTGATTCTAATGCTTTTGGTTCCTCCTTCTATTGCTTTAACTCTTTCAAATGAACTTATTTTCAAAATTCTACTAGGTACTTCTTGTGTCTGAAGTTCCTAGGATTTAATCCTACCATTTGTTCCTTCTCTTGCTTGTGCCACATTTTAGCTTTGGATCAGACTGTGAAATCAGATTCAGCAGTGCCTTACGTGGGGAATCCTGGTAAGCCTCAGCGGAGAGAGGGTCCCTTCAGAATGGTTTTCCATTTGCTTCTACATAGTTATTACTGTCTGGGGACTAATTTTTTAATTGAATTTCTCAGCTTAGACTAGGTTCCTGGATCATGTAGGTAGTATAAACTTAATTCCCAAACATTGTGAATACAGGCTTGTGGTTACTAATTCTCAAGAATCCTTCATGTTTCTATTTGGGAGTCAGGTCAAGATACGTAAGTTTCTTTGGGTTTTTCCCCAGGCTGGCGGACTGATTTTCCGATCTGTCCTTGGCATGTGTTGCAGCCTTTGGAGGATCCTGGCTCTGCTGGAGGCCTCAGTTCCAACTCCTGTTTTTTTGTGCAGGCCCAATTGTAGGCACTTTCTGTCTAAGCATTAAAATCTGAGCACTAGGTTTCACCAGGAATGACAATCTCCCCCAGCATATCATTACTTTCTCTCCTTATATCAGTTGTAATTTTTACTTTCCTGAGATCCTAGGTATCATGCAAAATACTTGATCAAACATTTTTAAGTAATGTTATCTGCCTACAGTTTTTAGGGTATCACCTCAGCACTGTTGCTAGCCTTGTAAATCTATGACAGTTCTGTCCTTTCTTCTCCCCGAATAACAGGCCAGAGTGGCCTTTGAGACCCTCAGACCCCATCATTTCTCAGATGTGCTCACTTCCGAGTGACTAGGGCCTTGGTGAACATGGCCAAGGTAAGTTACACAAACCTTTAAGATTCTGGCAGGCTCATCTTGTGGCTGCCCAAGAAAAGCCTTATAAGTAATTTCTCTGGTTTATTCAATCAGCCACCTACCCGTCTGGAGTGGCCCTTCTCTTCCTTCCATCTCTCCCTGCCCTCCGATTACACCAGGGAAGCTCCAGAGGAGGTTGCCAACCAACAATAGATCATTATATTGAGTTGAATCATGATACTTTGGTGTCTTCCCTTAAAATTTTTACTCTTTTTTTTTTCTTTGTATTTACTTAGGACACTACCTGCGATCTGCTAGTTAATATTGAATAGAAGCCAGGAGACATGTTTCTAATATTACAGGCCGTTCCAACCCAGCTGGTATTTGCTGGAGGTAATCTGAGTAGCTGCCCTTTATCAGTTTAGAGACAACTGGTGTTCCAGTTTAGTATTTATCCTGCTCAGGACATGTGGTGCTTCCTGGATCTGAGGAGTCTTTCCTCAGCCGCTGTATCTCTCAATATTGTTTCTCCTCCATTTTGTCTGTTCTATCCTAATGGGTATTCTCATTTTCTTTCTTCATGTTTAATTGTGATATTCCATCCTTTTAGATCTCTGTGCTTCATTTTGTATAACTTCCTTAGGTTTATGGCCTGCTTGTCCGTATCTAATCTTCTGGTGAACCCCTCCATCAAGTTTTACATTTTATTGACTATATTTTTCATTTCCAGATTTCTTAAATTCCTATTTAAATCTGCCTGTTTGTGGGGTGTGTGGGTGGCTCAGTCAGTTGAGCATCTGCCTTCGGCTCAGGTCATGATCCCAGGTTGCTGGGATCGAGTCCCGCATCCGGCTCTCTGCTTGGCGGGGAGCCTGCTTCTTCCTCTCCCACTCCCCCTGCTTGTGCTCGCTCGCTCTCTCTCTCTCTCGCTCTGTCAAATAAATAAATAAAATCTTTAAAAAATAAAATAAACTCTGCCTGTTTGTTTTTCTTAGCAACTGATTCTAATGCTTTTGGTTCCTCCTTCTATTGCTTTAACTCTTTCAAATGAACTTATTTTCAAAATTCTACTAGGTCCTTCTTGTGTCTGAAGTTCCTAGGATTTAATCCTACCATTTGTTCCTTCTCTTGCTTGTGCCACATTTTAGCTTTGGATCAGACTGTGAAATCAGATTCAGCAGTGCCTTACGTGGGGAATCCTGGTAAGCCTCAGCGGAGAGAGGGTCCCTTCAGAATGGTTTTCCATTTGCTTCTACATAGTTATTACTGTCTGGGGACTAATTTTTTAATTGAATTTCTCAGCTTAGACTAGGTTCCTGGATCATGTAGGTAGTATAAACTTAATTCCCAAACATTGTGAATACAGGCTTGTGGTTACTAATTCTCAAGAATCCTTCATGTTTCTATTTGGGAGTCAGGTCAAGATACGTAAGTTTCTTTGGGTTTTTCCCCAGGCTGGCGGACTGATTTTCCGATCTGTCCTTGGCATGTGTTGCAGCCTTTGGAGGATCCTGGCTCTGCTGGAGGCCTCAGTTCCAACTCCTGTTTTTTTGTGCAGGCCCAATTGTAGGCACTTTCTGTCTAAGCATTAAAATCTGAGCACTAGGTTTCACCAGGAATGACAATCTCCCCCAGCATATCATTACTTTCTCTCCTTATATCAGTTGTAATTTTTACTTTCCTGAGATCCTAGGTATCATGCAAAATACTTGATCAAACATTTTTAAGTAATGTTATCTGCCTACAGTTTTTAGGGTATCACCTCAGCACTGTTGCTAGCCTTGTAAATCTATGACAGTTCTGTCCTTTCTTCTCCCCGAATAACAGGCCAGAGTGGCCTTTGAGACCCTCAGACCCCATCATTTCTCAGATGTGCTCACTCCCGAGTGACTAGGGCCTTGGTGAACATGGCCAAGGTAAGGTCTGGACATTGGAGAATGAGAGCCCCTACTCTGGGTATTCAATTGCTGCCGAGCTCCAGGGCAAAGAACGTGTGGCTTGGAGCTCCTTAGCTAAGAAAAGGCAGTGCCCAGATGGCCTGATGAGCCAACAAATGGCTGAGTGTGACAGAAAGAACATGAACGTTTGGAATCGAGAGGCCTAAATCCCAGCCACTCCTCTCATTATCTGTGTGGCCTCAGCAGGCCACTTAACCTCTAGAAGCCTGCTTCAGCGTCTGTAAGATGGTCATAATAATGCTAATTTCATAGGATTGTGATGGTAGCTTATGGGCTTTATTTTACATCAGAGGTTAAGAGTACCCATTAAGAGTCAGCAGGCCCAAATCAAAACCTTGCTTTGCCTCTTATAATGGTCTTGGGCAAACTCTCCCGGGCTGTTTCCTCATCTGGAAAATGGGTATATCAGTGCTGCCTACCTCAAGGGTTGGAGGGAGGGGAGCGGAAGACTGTGTCGATTGCTTAGCACCTCACCTGTGAGAGCAAGCTCTCTGAAGGTGGCCGCTAGCATTATTTTGGCATCTTAGAACTTACGCATTTTCTTGGGCTGCCTCTTCAGCCTTTGAGACCTTCCTGTAGCAATATATCATCTCAATGAGCAGCCACAAGGTGAGGAAGACCAGGAGGATGTACATCATGATCTCTGAGACGACAGAGGTAAAGTCCTCTCCAGCTGCAAGGGGGAGAGTGAAGCTCAGAATATGCATGCCCAACAAAGCCAGATCTGTCCCTGCCTCCGAGATATAGGAGCCCTATTTTCAAGTGGGGCTTAAATAAGCCCTGGGGCTAAGGAGCTTGAGAAGATGTCGGAGAGATTTAATATCCTCTGACGCTCCTCTCTGTCCACTTTCTCACCGACTTTCTTCTGGAGTGGGGGCTGTGGAGGAAGAAATAACAGAGCAGTGGAAGGAATCCTGGAGCTGAGTGAGATGTAAGAGCTGGGTCCCAATTTTATGTGAAGAGTCATTTCCCTTATTTGAGACTCATCTCCCCACAGTGTAAGGTAAGGGTAACATTTCCCACCATTACATTACCTAGTGTGTTCCAGAACGTCTTGTGAGATGTGAAGGTCTACACAGATGTGAGGAACGTGTCTAGTTCAACCACCCGGGTCCTCTGACCTTAGCGTGGCAGAGGGAGACAGCGTGGGAAACATGTCCGGGGCCAGCGCAGTCAGCCGGCCCGGTGAGCTGGGGCGTGTTCTCTACAAGTCTGGATTTGGAAACAGGGTCCTTCCCAGTCCGTCTTCCTTCCACGTCATCCCAAACCCAAACAGAAAGGAGAATTGGAGCATTCCATGTATTAACCGGGCTTTCTGAAACACAAATCTGATCCTGCCATTTTCATGTGTAGAACCCTCCATGTTCCCGGCTGCCCTCAGGAGAAAGACCAAACTCTGTTAGCGCAACATGTAAGACAATTCACAGTCCAGCCCTTTTCTCTTCATTGCCATTCGACGCACCGGCAAAACTTCATTTCCCATATACGCTGTGGTCTTTTGGGATCTGTGGACATCTCATCCCCTTTCCTCTTCCTCGATGGTACTGCACTCCCCTCTGCTACCTCTGTCTCAATATCCCCTCCTGTTTTTCAGTCCCCTGAGCATTCTCCCCGATGCCACTGAAGGGCCCCCGTCTGTGAAACCTTCCTCAGCCTCTCAGGCAGAGCTCTCAGTGTCCTCCGTGCACTTTTCCGCATCCGTCCATTGTGACACCTCTCAGGGTGTACTATCATGTGTTTCTCCCTCTTCTCTACTGATGGTGTGCTTATTTAGGACATATTTTGCTTATTTCTGAATTATCAGCCTGTCGTCTCATGCCGGAATATTTGAAGTACTCAGGAAGTATTTGCTGAATGAATGAATATAAATAAATACTGGTCTTTGTTTCGCGGCCAACCAAAATGACAATTAAAACATGATATATGGCAAATGTCCTGAGAGATCTTCCTTTCTAGTGGGAAGGAAGGCTGTAGGCACATCTCCCGTTGCTAACTCCTACCAGTAAATTAGATTCATGGTCCTTGGCTATTCAGAGGCCCCAGTCATCCATAAGGCCTCATTCATTAGCTCACTGAAAGCACGGAATAGCCATAGCCATGACCCTCAGCTCAGAAAAGCAGTCCAAAGTCTCCACGATCGTCCAGGTTTCCTGGATGCTGGACCTCCTGGACCTGGAGGTCAGATGCCGCTTAGATGCCGCTTGAGGCACGGAAGAAGACCAGACACATCAAACGTCTTTTCGTGGGCTTGACACTACCTGATTTATGACGTATTCTTCTTAAAGCGTGCACTTTTTAAATGTAATAGCCCAGAAGTAGTAACACAGGAAGGTATCTGTGCTCACTCTTTTTAGTCACTTCTAGGTGAAGAGACCTCAGATTTTTGTCTTAGAGCCAGGAGGGCAGAGCTTAAGGTAGGATGATTTCAGCTTGAACAAAGAGAGCCAGAGAGATTCTGGGAGACCATAGGAATGGAGGAGATGCAGCGGGGTGTGTCATGGTGGAGCGTGGAGCTCTGAGCCTTATGAGAGCAGTGAGTATCTGGGGGGGAGGTATTCTCAAAGGCTGCCAAGGAGTCACAGAGGAAGAGAAAGAGAGGAAGGGGAGGAAAGGGAAAGGAAGGGGGAAGGGAAGAGGGAAGGGAAAAAAGTTCTGAAAAGAAGGAGAAGAAAGAAAGAGTAGCAGGGAATGGGATGGTGGTAGAAGGAAAAGATGCAGTGGACATAGAGCTAGCCCGGTGGGCAAAAGATCTGGCTTGTAGTCCTGCGTCTGGTGCTAATTGGCTTCACGTCTCTAGGCAAGACCCTCACTGATCTCCCCGCCACAAAGTGAGGGCACCAGAGCTGCCCCCTCCAATCAATCACCAAGGGAGTCATTTCTACTGACATACGCCAGACCTCACTCCAACCTACCAAACTCATACCCACAAGAGTGGTACGGAGAGGTCCACAATGAAGACAAGCCCCCTGGGCGATTCTGACGCCTGCTTTTTGTTCAGAACACCTGGATGAAGTGAGAGCCAAGCTTCCTCCCAGTCCTAGCACCCCAAGAGGCTCTGTGGGTCTGATAACAAACTTGGTTTCCTTCTATTCTCACCCAAGCCTTGCTCTGGTGCCCAGCAGGCGGACTGGTTCAGCTTTGCCACACTTTCCACTGGCTGCGCCGGGATCTCTGGAGGCAAAAGCCTGAGAAAGCAGTGGGTGGAGACAGACACCTTCCGAGGAGCTGGCCGGCAGCGGCCTGCAGTTCCCGACGGTGAGCAGCAGAGAGCGCTAGCCTCTCCTCCCCGGGGGAAGAGGTATGTAAACAGAGAGCATAATGCAACTTGGGAACAGAAAAAGACCTGAGAGAGCTTCCGGTCCAACCTACTCGTTGTGCACAAGAGGAGATGGGCTCAGAGGGGGAAATGGCTCATCAGGTCTAAATGTCAGTGGTCTGTGAGTGCTTCTGCACGTTCAGAACTGACCTACCTTCCGTTTTAATCATATTGTCCAGGTGCCTGGGTGGCTCAGTCGTTAAGCGTCTGCCTTCGGCCCAGGTCATGATCCCGGGGTGCTGGGATCGAGCCTGGCATCGGGCTCCCCGCTCGGCGGGAAGCCTGCTTCTCCCTCTCCCACTCCCTCTGCTTGTGTTCCTGCTCTTGCTATGTCTCTCTCTGTCAAATAAATAAATAAAATCTTAAAAAAAAAAATCATATTGTCCACATCAGGACAAAATCGTGACCTCTCTTGCCCTGCCATTCGCTCTCAAGTTTGCTTTATGAATTCTATCACAATAACATGAGAAAAAAAAATAAGCTTGTGGTGTGGAAGTTGGGATCCTTGGGAATCCTAGGAAGAGCCCTATCTTGACTTTGACCTCTTCTTTCAAGCCCCACGCCTATTGCCTGCTCACCATTGCGCATCTTGGGGCAGCTAATGCTAAGAAGATGCTGGAAATAGAATGCCTGAGAAGAGGCTAAGAAAAATGGAACCATCGTTTAACCTGGACGAGAAAACACACAAGGAGGTGCATGTATCAGCCTTCTGACACTTGAGGGAGTGTTTGCAAGGGGCTGGGAGCCACAGTTCCCGGAGTCCCTTGAAAGCAAAACAAGAACCCTGCATGAGAACACTCAAACCTCGCCGTCACGATTCTGGACTGGATTAAAAGAGAAACATTTAAGTTGGGTTGATGAAAGGGCTTCCCCGTCCCCCTAACAAGAAACTAGCTCTGGGAAATCTGAAGATTTTCATCTAAAGGCTAGAAAGTTTTTTCTCCCAGCTGAGAATGAGTTTATGTAATGAGAGATGCCAGGGATGGGGAAGGAGGGTTGCTTGTGTGATTATTGTGAGGGGGGGCGGGGGGGAAAGAAGACAAAAGGCTGTCAAGCTTTGGTTTAGAACAGTGGTTCTCAAAATGTGGTCCCCAGCAGCTCGGGCATCTCCTGGCAATTGGTTAGACGTGCAAGTTCCCAGGCTCTATCTACAGAATCAGAAAGTCTGCATTTTAAAAAGTCCTGCAGGGGATTTTGAGGCTTGCTGAAGTTTGAGCACAGCCCGTTCTGGGATATGTATGGCTTACATACAGGAGGGTTTGATGACCTCTAGATAACCTCATGAGATTTCTCTGTGCCCATCGAGTCAGGGATTCAACACAAGCCAGAGAAGCAGGTGCTGCTGATTTGGCACCTTTAGGCTTCATGGAGGCTGTCCTCCTTCTCTAAGGATGAGAGTTAGAGGGTGAAGGAACAGGTCATTCTGTTGTCATCTCTGAGCCTTTCCACTCTGAAGAAAGGCACCGAGAGGCAAGCTGTCAGGCAGCTTGCGGGAAGCTGACCGCTAGAGGAAGACAAGTCAATGGTGACCTTTTGAGATATCACCATTCCCAATATACGGGTTTTGCACTCCGCAAGGGTCTCATTTGTGTGGAAACCCACTATCCTCCCTCCCGCCAAGAGCAGGGCACCCTCGAGACCCTGTGCCCCAGCCTCACCCTCCTCGGTGACTCGGAGGGGGATCAGCCGTGTAGTCTTCACAAAGGGGCGGTGTGCCTCAAAAGCAAATTCCCGGGACACGTTGCAGGTGTAGAGGCCGGAGTCATTCAGAGTGACGTTAAGCACAGTGATGGACACATCCTGCAAGTCTTTGCTCCCGTTCCACTGCAGGCGTCCCTGGAAAGGGCTCTCCACCTCCTGCTGGCCATTCCGATACTCATAGATCTGCAGGTAGAGAAGCAAAAGAGAGTAGGGCCAGGAGAGAAAATTGGGTAGGAGAGCCAGGATGGGGACAGGGCAGAGCAAAGGAGCAGAACTGTGCACCAACAGGGAAGAAAGGGGACAGTGTTACAAGGAGATCCCTAGTGTGGGAGTTGGGACGAGCAGGCTCAGAGGAGGGCAGGGAAAGCCGAGCAAAGGTAAACAGGTATTGGGGCGTATGGACACAGCAAAAGAAGAGGCAGAAAGGGGCAGGCGGGAAGAAGGATGGCAGGAAAACAGAGGTGCAAAGGAAGATAACAAACGAAGGTGGGTGAAGGGGGCGCCTGGGTGGCTCAGTCGTTAAGCGTCTGCCTTCGGCTCAGGTCATGATCCCAGGGTCCTGGGATCGAGCCCCGCATCGGGCTCCCTCTGCCCATCTCACTCCCCCTGCTCGTGCTCTCTCTCTTTCAAATAAATAAATAAAATCTTTTTAAAAAAAATTTTTAAAAGCTGAGTGAAGCATACAGGAGACCAGGAGGGGGATATTGAGAGAAAGGAAGAATTGGAAGGAGACAGAGAGAGAGCAAGAGAGAGTAAGATGTGTCATGGGCGCAGCCGGTGAGAGAACGGAGCAGAGGCCGAGAAAGGCAGCTTCCTGAATCACGAAGGCATCTGAAAGTCTTGACCTCAATACTTGACTCTCTGATCTGGTTCTGAGAGGATGTGGTTAGTCGGGGTCAGGTCACGGGAAGGGGACCCAGGACGCAAAAAGTGTCACAGATGAGCAGAGCGGCCAACTGATATGCACACCTCAGGTCTTCCACTTTGGGCTGAATTAGAACGGAAATACAGTCTCAAAACTTCTTTTCTCAGACACCCCCACCTTCTTATTCTCTACAGCCGTACTGTCCGTTCCAGTCTCCACTTGGCATGCGTGGCTACTTACATTAAAAATTAAATGACTAGAAATGAAATAAAATGTACAATTGCGTTCCTCTGTTGCACTAGACACATTTCAGGGGCTCGGGGACCACCTGTGGCCAGTGGCTACTGCATCGGACAGTCCAAGTACGGAACGTTCCCACTGTCACAAAAATTTCTCAGAGACAGCAGTGCTTTGTATGTACACTACAACTTTTTAAAGTTTCTTTTCGTCCTTGTGAGTCAGCCTCTACTCACTTTGGGCAGACCCGGCAGCAGAATCGGTGGCGGGCATACAACAAGCCCTGAGGTCAATGGGGGCCTTCGCCTCTGGTCCAGGCATCCGGGTTCCTGTAACCTGGGGGCTAGCCTCGGTCACCATCAACTCTGAGTGAACCCCGAGATTTCAGGGAAGTCTACTGCTCCCAGTGCTGATACCCGATTGGAGCACTCAACTCCACCCTGCTATTGTCTCCATTAAGTCTTCGTAGAGAAGAAACTTACCACCAGGAAGGTGGGATAGTGCAGTAAAACCAGCCTTGTATCCCTGGTTTGAATCTAAGCTCTCTTATTCACTTAACTCCTTTGGGCCCCAGGCGCCTCACGTATGTCCGTATACCTTTTCTCTAGCAAACACATTGTGCCTCCTGTATTCCAGGGCTATTCTAAACACATTAAAAATTAAAGCTAACAACTTTGAAGGTAACAATTCTCTGAGGTAGCTATGGTTTGCACCCCCATTTTAGACATGAGGACACTGAGGCACAGAGGGGCAAAGCAAATTGTCCCAGGGCACAGAACCTATAAGTTGTGGAATCCAGACTCAAACCCAGGCAGCGAGTTTCCAGAGTCAGTGAAAGTCGGAGTAACAGTCATCCCCAAGGTGGTAGTCGAAGCATGTAACAACCAATCAGAACTGACGTTAGCCACAGCGCAGGGCGGGGACTTGGAGGCTCCCTGCTCTTGTCAGGGTGATCCCTTAGTCTCTAGAACATGGGGAGGTCTGGAGGTTCCTAGTGGGACCGATGGTGGTGAGGCCACTTGGGAGGCTTGGCACAGCAAGTATCCACTATAGAACTATTTTAGTATTGGGGCGCCTGGGTGGCTCGGTCGTTAGGCATCTGCCTTCGGCTCAGATCGTGATCTCAGGGTCCTGGGATCAAGGGCCACATCGGGCTCCCTGCTCCGCCTCAGTGGGAAGCCTGCTTCTCCCTCTCCCACTCCCCCTGCTTGTGTTCCCTCTCTCACTCTCTCTCTGTCAAATAAAAAATAAAATCTTAAAAAAAAAAGAACTATTTAAATATTTTACTCACGGACGTGGCTGTACTGGGTATACCAGTTGAAAAGCAGCTTGGAGGAGGTGGGTGGGGGGATGGGGTAATTGGGTGATGGGCATTAAGGAGGGCACGTGGTGTGATGAGCACTGGGTGTTAAACGCAACTGATAAATTATTGAACGTTACATCTGAAACTAACGATGTACTATAAGTTGGCTAATTGAATTTAAATTAGAAAAAAAAAAGCAGCTTGGTCATCCCTATCATTCTGATTTCACTGGGATCGTGAGATTTCAATGAGCTAACCTACGCTATTCCATTAATGACGCTGAGTGTCATTTCAACGTTTCTACTAAGTCAATCCATCCACTACGATGGTGCGGAGAATTAAAAAACACCTGCGAAGCGCCTTATCGGGTGCGGAGCGCACAGTAGGCTCTGAGCGCTATTTCTCTCTTCTCCGCCTCCCGCTGCTTGTAACCAGGAACGCTCGCAGCTGAGCTGGGCTGTCAGTCATCTGCTGGGGGGCTGTCAGTGCTTTGAAAAGAAAGAGCCAGTGTTTGTCAGATTTTCGTTCCCCAGACTCTCAGGAGCCGGGCACATAACAGCAGAGGCAAGCAAAAGGAAGGCCAGAGTCAGCAGCCAGACATACAAGGAAATCTTTACCGCCCTCAGGCCTGTAGAACCACTCCACCACTGTGGTGGCCTCCACCTCCTCCCTCTTCATGCAGGAAATGCAGCGCAGCTTCATGGGGTTGCCCTGAACGGCCTCCGTCTCCGAGGGTACTTCCACGCACACAGGGACGCAGACACTGACTGCAGAGAGGCCGGTGACAGGGAAGGAACAGCAGGTGTCGGGGAGGTGGGCACCAGCAGAGCAGCATTGGAGAACGAGAGGGAGGGAGAAGAGACAGAGAAGAAAGAATCATGAGACAAGCTTGAAAATCGCACGTACATTTATGTACATCTTCACCTGTGCTCCCCAAGGATGCACGCTCAAAGCAGGCATGGATTGGGCTAGAGGGGCCATGGGTGACCCGGAGTTCACTGCAAGCCTCCCAGGATGCAGTTAGGATGTGGCGCAGCCCTGAGCCCTGCCCTCAAAGACTAGAGTCTAGGTGGGAAACCGGGCACCCACACCCATCCACTGACCATCCACGCACCCCTTCATTCAACCACCGTTCATGGAAGTCTACCCCATGCCAGGCCTGATGCTAGGCTGAGACACAAAGATGAACGAAACACTAACCACACCCTAAAGGCATCGAGAATCTAGCAGGGAACACCTACTCCTAAGGATCATGAAATGGGCCACGATGAGTGCTAGGCTGGCGATGTGCTCTCTGTTCCCAAAGGAGGGCCAATTATTCTTGGTTGGACAGGGGAGAGAGAAAGAAAAGGAAGATGAGCTGGGGTGTAGAAAGGGAGCGAGGACCACGCTGTGAAGAACTTTGTATGGCCTTCACAACATGAAGGGTCAGATATTTGCAAGCCATGAAGAGATGTAATTATATCTGCATTTTATGAAAAAGAAATTGTAGTTAAGGGCGCCTGGGTGGCTCCGTGGGTTAAGCGACTGCCTTCGGCTCAGGTCATGATCCTGGAGTCCCGGGATCGAGTCCCGCATCGGGCTCCCTGCTCGGCGGGGAGTCTGCTTCTCCCTCTGACCCTCCGCCATCTTGTGCTCTCTCTCTCTCACTCTCTCTCTCAAATAAATAAAAATAAAAAAAAAATTGTAGTTAATTCTGATGCCTGGTTGGGGATGGAGCAGCAGTGAGGAAGACAAGCGAACCGACCACTCGGCTGGAGTGATGCTTTTCGCATAGGAGTGGAAGAAACAAATCTGGAGAGAGGTCAGAAGTGGGGGGCACCGTGCATGCCTCATGGAGGTCTGGACTTACAGTCCCTGCCCTCTAGAAACTTGTAACCCATAAAAAAAGGCGAGTACATCAAACCGTACTTTCAGAATGAGTCAAAAGGGGGATGTGGCTGCCAACAAAGCAAGTGCAAATGTGGGCTGCATTAACAGATGTACAATGTGCAGAACGAGGGAGAAACAGTACCTCCGTACTGTTCAGAACAAATCTGGACCATTATGATCAGTTCAGGGTGTCACAGTTTGCAAAAGGAAGTTGTTCAATGAGTGCATGCCCAGAGGGGAACAAGATGGAGAAGGATCTGGAGACAAAGTCTGGGGAGAAACAGATGTGAGGATGAGGGGTGCCTGACTTGGACACAGAACTTATCTGTCTTCAAATATTTGAAGGCTGGCCTGTGGAAGAGAAAATAAATTCTGTCCAATTCCGAAAGTTACAAGAAAGTAAGTTTAGCTCATTAAAAAAATAATAATAATTTTCTGGTGCTGAAGCTGTTCACAAATGCAAAAAACTATTTGGTAAGAGTTTACACTTCATTGTATAGAAGATTAAAAAGTGGGATGTCCATGAAGGATTCTTATATCAGGACCTCTAAGGCCCCTTCTGATGCTACCTTCTCATGAACTAATAATAAAAACAGAACACCTAAAAGTGAAACAATACACATTGATATTTAAAAGCTAGTACACTATAAATTGTTAGTCTGTTTCTGTATTGGCAGGCAGTTCATTCTAACAGCGGAGGAAAGCTTTATTTAGAGCTTAAAATGAGATTGACCAACTAATTGAGTCAAAAAATAAATTACATTTGACCGGCTTCGAAGGCAAAAAATGTCGTTATTAAACAGAGAGTTTAAAAAACAAATGGCACTGGGACCTGTCACCCCACTGATTGCCAGGGTTAATCTGGCTGATGTGTCCGGCTAAGCAGGTGTCCCCTTCCTCCCTCACCACTCCGTGTGCATCCCTCCCAAAACGGTGCACTCAGTCAGAGGACAACCTTATAGAGGAGGACCGTTCTTTGCTCAAGGGTATATGAGTAGTTGCTCTCGCCTGCTAGAACCTCCAAACAAGCTCTCAAGGTCCATTTGTAAAGGAACATAGGGTAGTCAAGCTTCCAAGACTCCAGACATATCCAAAGAACGCACTGCAGATAGCAGTCTGCCTTTCTTTAAAAACAAACAGACAAACAAACAGAGTGGTACTATGATGAAATTTAAAACATCAATGTAAAATAAAGTTAATTGGTTTTAAAACTCCCAAGCAACCTGGGGCTGGTCTTATCAGGCAGTCTGCAAGAGAGTCTCCTGCTTCTGCATATGGACCATCACTTTTTGGGGAGAGGGTCCATATCTGGAGAGAACTGATCAGAAACACTTTCAGAATGTGATGTGTTTGGGGGCACCTGGGTGGCTCAGTCAGTTAAGCATCTGCCTTTGGCTCAGGTCATGATCCCAGAGTCCTGGGATCAAGCCCCGCATCATCGGGCTCCCTGCTCAGCGGGGAGCCTACTTCTCTCTCTCCTCCCCATTTGTGTTCTCTCTCACTATTTCTGTCTCTGTCTCTGTCTCTCTCAAATAAATAAATAAAATCTTAAAAAAAAAAAAAGAATGTGTTGTGTTTGAAGTCTTGATTGTTGACCTGGTTGAAAAAAAAAGGGAGAAGAAAGTGTGGTCTGTGCAAAAGTTTGGGAATGAATAGGGGTGCAGAGAATGTGCATTGAGAACTCTGTGTAGCAGGCAGCCTTGGGACACACTCATATTTTATGAGACATGGTAAAGATAAGTTAGTTCAATGATGATGACTTCAAAGCAGCATAGGAAAATATACCAAGGAATGCACAGTTACAAATACAGAGGCAGGATGAAGATGTATTTGGCAACTGAAGGCCTGGGTTTATCTACTCTTTAACCCCTGAGACTCAGTTTATTCATCAACAGAATGTTGAAAATAATATCTATCTAATGGAATCATCATGGAAATTCTATGGAATGATTTATATGAATGTGCTTTGTACACATATCACTTGTTAAGGTATTTTACCCTTCATCTGTTTGTTCACCTGTTCAACAAATATATTGTGTGCTTATTGTGTGCCAGGCACTGTTCCAGGCACAGACAACACAACAGGGAACAAAACAGAAACCATCCCTGCTCTCATGGAGTCTACATTCCAGGGGAGGGTGAGAAAAATAAAAGACATTACATTATAATAAGTGCTATTTGAAAAAGTAAAACAGAGTAGAGGGGCATAGGCACACTGTCCTCATTGAGAGGGTAACAATGAGCAGGCACTGAAGGAAAGAAATGAGGGGAAAAAAGGAGATATATGAATATCTGTGTGGAAGTGTGCCAAATAGAGGAAATAGCACTGTGGGGGTCCTAGGGTGGGAGTGTCTGTCAAAAGCAAAGAGCACAATAAAGCACAGGGAACAAAGTGAGAAAGAAGGACACATAATCTAGGGCCAGATCATGGCTGGTCTTGTAGACCACAATTAGAACTTTGACTTTTGCTCAGAGTGACTTGGAGAACACTGGAGTATTCCGAGTGGAAGAATCATATGATTTATACAAACTTACATGATCTGACTGCTACGTTGAGAATAAACTGAAGAGGTGAGGAAGGACAAGTGTGGAAACAAAGAGAATAGTTAAGAGGCTGGTACACTGATCAGACCGAGAGATGGCTCAATGGTTTTGCTTGAATGAAGGTGGTAGTAGAGCTGTTGGGGTTTGAAAAGGAATAATTTGCTGGACCAACATCCTCGAAAAGGTGACAGGTGATGTGCTCTAGTGAACAAGTAGATGAACTGGTCTTAAATAGGAGCACAGTTAGTTCATTTATAGTTAAAGGAGGGAGGACAGAATATATGCAGTCGGGAGGATCACAATGGATAGCATGGCAGTCCCTCTTTTTTCTGAGTTGCTTCTGAGATGACAATAATCCAAGATATCATCAGAGAATGAGTGCTACTGATTCCCTTCTCATAGAATTCTGCTCATGAGGATCTGGATAGTACATTGCAAAATGGCCACAAAATTCTCTCATCTCTCTTTGCTTGCCCTTTGCAATATGACATGCTGCTCCTTCCATCAAGAGGTGAAATCTGTTTCTCCACCCCATGGGGACATACAGTAGGTATTCAATCCACATTGCTGACTGTAAATAATAAACTGCTAGAATAATCTTGGCCAAAATCACTTCACTTTTGGTCTCTTCTTCAATTTCCATAGTAATAATGAGGAAACTTGGGGCATCTAGGTAGCTCAGTCCGTTAAGCATCTGCCTTCCACTCAGGTCATGATCTCAGGGTCCTGGGATCGAGCCCTGTGTCGGGCTTTCTGCTCAGCAGGGAGACTCCTTCTCCCTCTCCCTCTGCTGCTCCCCCTGCTTGTGCTCTCTCTCTCTCTCTCAGATAAATAAATAAAATTTTTTAAAAAATGAAGAAACTTCTAAGAAGGTAGAATATGATATTATTACTAATGATTATATTTAACTAAGGAATAGTATCAATCTATTATGAAGTGGAGAGCAATATGTTTTGAACCAACTCCTCTAATCTTTTCTTCTTTGGGCATTACTATATTGCCCCTCCTGAGCTTGCTTTAGAATGCTTTCCTTTGTGCTAAGATAATAAAGGCTTTTTTTTTTAACAGTTGTCAAACTGTTTTTCTTTTTTGTTTGTTTTTGTTTTGTTTTTAAGATTTTATTTATTTATTTGACAGATAGAGACATAGCGAGAGAAGGAACACAAGCAGGAGGAGTGGGAGAGGGAGAAGCAGGCTTCCCGCCAAGCAGGGAACCCGATGCGGGGCTCGATCCCAGGACCCTGGGACCATGACCTGAGCTGAAGGCAGATGCTTAATGACTGAGACACCCAGGCACCCCAATAAAGGCTTTGATTAGAATGTAAATAGTTGGGGCACCTGGGTGGCTCAGTCGGTTAAGCGGCTGCCTTCTGCTCAGGTCATGATCCTGGGGTCCTGGGATCGAGCCCCACGTCCGGCTCCCTGCTCAGCGGAGAGCCTGCTTCTCCCTCTCCCTCTGCCTGCCACTCTGCCTACTTGTGCTCTCTATCTGTCGAATAAATAAATAAAATCTTAAAAAAATAGAATGTAAATACTTTCCAAAAGACAGTAATAAATGAAGTTATCTGTAGATATTAACACCCTAAAATGATTTGTCTATCAGATTAGCCAGTGACTTAGCACAGCCTTGAAAGAATGGGATGCAGCAAGATGGGCTGCTGGGAGAAGAGAGGAAAACATTCCTCAACACGGCAGACATCTGGGAGAGTAGACCTGGGACTAGAGGCTAAGGAGGCTCTGAGGAAAGGCAATGGCTTGGTGGAGGAGAGGATGGGTGGTGGCTCAGAAAAGGGATGAGGGGACAGATACCTATCTGGCAATCCTGCATAGTAGCACATGTGTCCATAAGAAGTGCTAGAACAAGTACTAGAAGACTGAAATCAGAAGACAAGAGTTCTCTAGCAAGTCCTTCCCTCTCCCTGAGCTCACTCACCTCTAAATTAGAAATGATACTATTTTCCCCTGACTATCCCCAAGGATTGATACAGTGACCAAAAAGAAGTAATGGATTGAAAAATGCTTTGTAAACCATAAAGCACCAGGGAAGTGTAGAGTTTTTTTAATTATTAGTATATACGTTATTAAAGGAAATAAGGGGAGTTTTTTCAATAGATGCAGATAATAATATAACAGAAAAGATTCTTTCCATTCGTATTTGCATCATGTGAAAAATCAGCTTGGGAAGGGAGAATGTATCTAGTCGAAGTGGCTTCCAATACTAGAATTACATTCAAATAAAATGAAATTGCATTTGTGAAATGAGGCCCTTTCTCTTACATCTGATGACCAAGTTTCCCGAACCATCCCTCTTTCCTTCTGCAGCTTTTAAGTTTCGTGAACCAATGTTCTGGTTATAAAGAAGCTGAGAATTAGCAAGGATGGGTGCAATGTACACACTTCTTTCAAAGGTTTTATTTTGGGGTGGGGTGAGGAGTGGGAGTGAGGAGAGGGGTGGACACTGCCAAGTTTAGCAATATTCTGTAAATACTTCCTTACTATTCAGTCTTGAACATTATCTGCCCCAACTTCCAAACTTCACATATGAGAACCAGATACTCTAAGGTTGTTACATAGCAAGCTAATGGCAGAGCTAAGACTCCAAGCCAGGCTTTGTAAGTCCTAAGAGGTGCTTGGAATAAGGCATGCTCACCTCCTCCACTGGAATTCAGGCAGGGATGCTAAAAATTTAAATTAAGGTTTGGGAAGAAAGGCTCTGTAGAACCCTTTAGAAGGCTCTCTGCAACTTCATCTCCCCATTGCTTTACTCACACTCTTTCTTATACAGCCAAACCAACCTCTCCTAAGCCTCATGTCCCTAGCCTTAGCCTCCCCTGAGGAAATCCCAGCCTTAAATCTTCAAGGCAGGTGAGATCATTGGCAGCCTGTTATGTCTGCTTCATCTTCAGGTCTAGTCTACTCTACTGGGGATGGATGGCAGTGGGTCTGCCCTTGGGACTGGCATTATTCTCCCTCCTTGTCCTTCCCGGACTGTCTCATCAGGCATTTTGTTCAACAGGAAGCTTGGCTTTGCTTTTGGTCACATGCAAAATCCAGATAATGCTGGCAGTCAGTAAGTCCTGGAGGCTTAATAAAGCGATCCTAAGGCAAAGAGGCAATTCCCATCAACATATTTGCCACTGCACAGGCAGAAATGAGTTTCATGCCAAGCATGGGAGAATAATCCCACATGCCTACTTTCAATAAAGCAGGTGGGCACAATCACTTCTAATTATCCTGGTTATTGATTTTTAGCATAAAGAAAGGTAAAAGCATGGAAAAGGGGGGAATGTAGGAGATCATGTGAAGCAATATATCAACTGAAAAGTACCTTTATTTGACCTGAGGATCTAATCAGAATCATCAAGACAAAGATGCCCAGAACTACAGAACCACCACACACACACACACACACACACACACATCTTCACCAATCCATTCAAATGCCCATTCTAACATGCTCAGACATATGCTAACACACACATTCAAACACTGAGGCATATACATCCACAGAGCAAACCATTCTCTCAATCACATATTCAGACGTTATCATGTAGACTCATTAACTCTCTCTACACACAAGCAGGCACCCCACTCCAACACTTCTCTGCTTAGCCTTACTGTTGCAAGTGAAGGTCTTCCTTACTTAGAGGGAGAAGGTCACCTTATTTCCTCACAGCAAACAAGAACCTATTAGTTTTTGAAAGCAAAAAAACATTGCTCCCCAAACACCAAAGCACATTAGCTTCATATGTTCATGAAAAAGAATAACGATGCAATGCCCAGGTGCCTATTTATCAAAGACATAGCTGCAAATGGCTGAAGCCTATTTTCCTTATTAGACTTAACCAAATGGACCAACAGCTAAAGTGTTTTCATTCTCAAAATGCGTGCATCCAGCTTTTGAAAAAAGACATGGGAATTAATCTGAAGACTGACTGATTCCTCATTGAAAAATGAAATGTAAATGCAACCAAGATTTTTCATAATGAACGTGGCTGCATTCCCTTTCAGCAAAGGAAAAGGGAAAAAAATTCTTTGGAATTAACAGGAAACAGGAAGAGGGGTGGAAAAACCACCAAGGGTAGCTCAGGAATAAAGCAGCAGGAGTGAGGAGGTGTTTTTCCAATCTCAAAATCCCAGCTCTCATGGAACCCCTATGGATCTCCATGTCTGGCAGACAAGCAAAGAGGGAAGCCAACCAGGGCTCCTTTCTGTCACAAACGACATGAATTAAGTGTTTATTATTGTTAGCATTATTACTGTTATCTGCATCTCGCACGGCAGGGTGTTGGTACTTACCCCAGAAGATGAGCATGAGGGAAGCCAGGGGAAACAATCTGTTGAAGGCAGGCATCTTTTTTCCGGCGGGTAGCTTCCCGGGCTAAACAGAAAGATTCCGGTCAACAACTCGCCCTCTCAGATACTTTCGAGGAAACCCTTTGGGACGAACTGCCCCAAGGGGGCGACTTTCTGACTGAAATAAGGGTCAAGCGCCGGCGACTGGGGAGGCTTTCCGGGCTTTTCGAGCCGGGCGGGGATTTCAGCTCCAAGCTACCCTGGCGCACCGCCCCAATTCGAGGGAGCGGATCAGCAGCTTCGCGCGCTCTCCCCGGAGCCCGTTGCTGGGATCCGGCTCAGCACCACGGACAGTACCTTCCCCGCCCACCCCGGAACTTCACAAATTCCAGTCGCTCAGCTGCTTCTCTTGTTTGCGCCTCGGTGACAGCTCAGCTCCGAAGAGAGCAGCAAGGCTGGCTCTAGGCGGCTGGGCTATCGAAGGGGTCCATGTTGATCCACCTCTCACCTCCCCTGGGAATAGCTATGCTCAGACCAGGATCCACCAAGACCCAGGAGCTTCGGCTTCATCCGCCTGCACCGGCTTCTCCAAGCTGGGCGTGCCCCCCAACCCGAAGCCACCCGGGCCACCCGTCTGAGCTCCAAAATTCGTTCCACCTCGGTACTGTCCACACCCGCCCTCTGCTCCCCGGGAAGGTCCGGAGGGGCGGGGAAGGAGGCGGAAGCTCCTGTCGCGCTGCCGATCTCAGGGGGAGGGGACAGGGAGGGTGGGCCCCTTCCTCGGAGCTCGCCCCGAGATAATGCCGGGGCCCCGATCCTGGGTGGCGGGTGACCAACTGCCCTTCTCCAGGTCCCCCTTGACCGCGTATGTTCAGTCAGCCTTGACATGCGCAGGCGGCTGTCCACCCCCACCGCTACCACGGACCCACCCCTTGTGCACACACTCCCCACCCCCAAACAGGCGTGCCCCTCCCAGGGCAGAACACGGCGGCAGAGCGAGGGGCGGGGCTTGGAGCGGCGCAAACTCCTCCAGACCTCGCGGTTTCTCTGCTAGCTGGCTGTCTCCAGGTCTCCCTTTCACATCCCCGCAGCTCTCCCCAGCCAGGGCACACCTCCTCGCACCAATTCACACCCTCCCAGGCAACCGCACTCCTGCTCCCGCACAGGCATGCTTGCCTCCAGCTCCGGGAAGGGGAGGGCCGAATCTCTTTCAGGCAATGATGTCATCTGTAATGTACACTGTACATGAGAAGCTCCGGGCTTCTCTCCCCCGACCCCATCCCCTTCTGTTCTCCCAATCTATTCTGTCTAGCCTTGATTAATTAGTTCCGGGCACACTGAACACAGCAAGATAACCCCTGCTTAGGAAAAGTGGGGTAGGGGTGGAGGTGCACCTGTTCCCATGTTCACCTCCTCATCCAGTGAGGTGATCCAAAGGTTAGCGCAAGAGTGGTGCCGTGGGTGGGAGCAGCTCCCTCTTGCTCTAATCGCTTTTTTTCTTTTCCTTTTTTTTTAGTTTAAAAGCAGATAGATTGTGGTTTGGCTTCTTCCAACTATTAGCCACTCCCTAGTCCTAGCAGCTGTTTCAGCGCCCCCGCCCCATCTCTGGAAGGGAAACCTGAAACTTTAAATTCAAACTCTGATTTGTTATAAATTCAAACTGACCTAACAGATTAGGAATGCCTGGAACTGAAATGAAAGATTAATACAAAAATCTCCCCCTCCCCCTTTATTCCCTCCTGCTCCCTTTCCAAAAGGGGAAGCTTGACACTGATATTCCAAAAAAGAACGGGAGAGTAACAGCTGACTGTAAACGGACCACAGGCAGGAAATTCTCTTTCCTAACATATGACAGAACAGCAGAAGGTCGCCAAGATAGGACCTTCTTCCTGGGCAGGGAGCCACCAGGTCATAAACTCTATGTTGTTTTTGAAGGCCAGCCCTTTGAAGCACAGTGTATTAAGCTTGGAAGAGAAGTTAAAGTTGACTTAATTCAACCTGTGCAATTCATGAATCCCCCAAGAACATTCCTGATGAATAGACTCAACCCTTTCTAGTGGTAAGAGCTTACTACTTCCCGAGTTAGTCCCTTCTGTTTTTTTAAAAAAAAATATTTTATTTTTTTATTTGAAAGAGATAGCGAGAGAGAGCATGGGGGCGAGGGGCAGAGGGAGAGGGAGACTCCCCACTGAGCAGGGACTATGCCAGACTCTATTCCAGGACCCTGGGATCATGACCTGAGCTGAAGGCAGATGCTTAACCGACTAAGCCACCCAGGTACCTGTCCCTTCTATTGCTTAAAGAAGTTCTTCTTTATGTTCAGTCGAATTCTGTACACTCCTCTTCCCTCCCCTAAGTGGTCCCGAAACTGTTTTTGTCACTTTCTCAGGAAGATTTGTAGTTTGTCAGCATGATTCTCAAAGTGACATTTAGAATAGGAAATGATGTTCCCTGTGTGGTCTGACCAGCATAAATCCAGGGGAATTATGGCCACACTTGCTTTAGAGGGTATGTCTATTCAAATACATTTACTGCCATATCTCACTCATAATGAGCTTGTGGTCAATTAAAATTCCTAAGTATTTTTCACTTGAACTGTTGCAGAGTCATTTTTAGCTATATGGGGAATTTTGGAAAAACGATTATGAAACTACATTCATTGCTGTTAAAATTTACCAGTTTCAACTAATTGTCACATCCTGTTAATACTCTTATTGAATCCACATTCAATCATCCGACATATCTTTCTTCTTCAGCTTTGTTTTATCTCTAGGCTTGACAATCGCCTGATCCAAACGTAGGATTTTTTTTTTTTAAATAGATAGGGGAAAATAAAAACAAAGAAGAGTCCACTGACATGATTTTGGAGACCTCACTCTAGCTTGACAATGAGCTACTAATTAGACTTTTTGATATGGTTGCTCAATCACAAATGCTGAAATATACCTCTCTATTTTCCATACTTATAGCATGACACATCCTGAAAACTTAACACAAAGGGTGTATGTGAGAAAAATTACATTGATAATGGTCCAGGGAAAAGAGGTAGGATCGATGGTTTACACTTACATGCAAATAGATTTTCAGCAATATATTTCAAATGATTCCAAAGTGAAATGAATTACCTTTTGTTATGTTCACGCAGTTGTTCTCCAAAGAATTACTGAGATGTTGCAGGAAAAAAAAAAATCTTCTATAGGTTAGAAATTTGGAATAGATTACTGATAAAGTTCCAACAACCTTTGAGATTCTATGATTTTATTGAAAGTCCCATCCAAATACATAGAGCAACTGAGATATTTTCAGTCTGATAAATCTGTCAACACCACCCCCACAACCACCACCACTACCGCAGTGGGAACTGGCTTAATTTTACATAATTTTTCTTACATCCATTTGTGCTATTAGGAAATAATCACAATGTTCTTTTCTAAATGTTTACCTGCCCACTTTGAGGATTTTACATGAGATTTTAGAAACAGCATATTTGCCTCTAGTTTGCATGTGACACTCTCTCTTCTATTGAAAATAGGAGCATTTGGTCTTTTCAGTTTTCTGACATTTCCTTTGATTTTTGGCAGTGGCTCTCCATCACTCTTGAAAGTACCTTAAGTTCCCTGAAGTACATTCTGCCTTGTTCTAAGAATTTTTAACTCATTGTAATTGTTTAAGTTATGCCTTCCTTCTTTCTGCCATTTTGGTTTCAGTACTTTTTTTTACTGTTTTGTTTTTAATCTTTTCCAATCTTATGATCATCTTCCCTTTACAGCTGATGATGAAACCATCCATTTTAGTCTACAAACAGTAGCCAGAGCACTTTTTGTATTTTATAAGATCATGTACCTTTCTTGCTTAAAGTCCTTCAATGGCATTTCATTGCACTTAATAAAATCTAGACTCCTCACCATGGCCTAACAAGGGCTGCCCTAAGGTCTGCCTAGATTTTCACACTTGTGTCTACCATTCCCTGTCTTGTTCACAATGTTCCATTACACAAACTTATTAAGCTTTTTCTCATCATAGAGCCTTTGTGCCAGATGTCCCCTCTTCCCGGAATGCTCTTTATCCTGTGGCTGGTTTCATATCATTAGGGTCTTGCCTCAAATGACTTCTCCTTAGTGTGGCACTACTGGTCATACTTTCTAAACTGGTTTCCTGCTCACTTTCCCCATCTGAAGCTACTCTCTATGTCATTGTCCTGCTTCTTGTTCTTTATATCTTCTCTTACTATCCAAGAATTATTCTATTTGAAATTTAATGCATTTGCTTATTTTCTGTTTCCTCCTGTCAGGATGTAAGCTTCATGAAAGCAGCCTTGTTTGCTCTGTTTGCTGCTGTACTCCTATGCCCAGGTTGGTACCAGGCAGATCACTAGATCCTCTATGAATCCTGAATGAATGAATAAATGGACGGATGAATGAGTGGGAATAGGGTGCAAAGGGTGAGGAGCCCAGGCCATAATCAGTAGAGGGAACAGAAAACAAAAAAATCAGAGAAATGGGAGAAGATCAGAAAGACACAATGCCACAATAGACAAGGAAAGAAAATATTGAGACTTGAGGGACACTCCTCCTTACAGGGGACTCCAGCCAACTGTGCTCAGAGATTGAGAAAGAGGAGAGAAGTGTATGGGGCCTGAAATATTTAGAGATTTTGAGGTAGAGGGGAAAGAATGACTGACAGCGAGAGAGGAGTGGCATCTGAGATATGCACGGAGATGTTACTTTTCCTAAGGAAAGAAACCCATTTCACTAAGATTATGGGGGGAAATTAGAAACAGCAGCAGGGGCAGTGACACTGAGTAAAGATAAAGTAGAGAGAGATCTTAGGATACACATACGGATCTTAGTAAAGGAGGCAAAATTATCTCCTGAAAAGGATGGGGTGGGGAGGAACAAGGGAGCTACAGATGGGAGAGACAGTGTGGGCCCCTTCTTGATGCATTTCAAGATCAACCCATACCTGAACTAAGAGTCAAGATGCAGACATCAGAGCCCAAGGTAGGCAAGTCAAGTGACCTGCTTTTGCTATTCTAAATGGATTTTGAAAAATAGTGCATAACCCATGGGACAAGGAGAGTAAAAAAACATGTTTATTTTAAACTGTGGCAAAGAGCACATGTGGAACTGGGAGATATCAGGCTCCCCCAAATCGTTTCCTCAACCGAATGCCAGCTGTGTGGTTAGTGTCACCAGCCAAGGCAAGTTTGGGATTAGGACAGGAAATAGTGACATGATGACCAGACTATGCAATCCCTTCCTGGATCTTCACATGGCAGAGAACCCGGCAGGTAAAATGAGGCCAAAAATGTTTGTTGAATTGAATTGAATTTCATCTGCTGATCAGGGAAGCCAGAACATTCTTGACATCCAGGAGTGCCCCACAAACACTCATAACACGTCCTGTGGGCAAGAGTAGCCAGTGTCACTGATCTTAACCAAGCTTCAGGAAGCCCATGGTACACATCCATGAGAAAGCTGTCAATAGGTAGTTATAATAATCTAAACATTTGAATGGGGGAAAAGAAAATATAATTGGTGATAAGGTACTTCAAGCTTCCCAGAAGAAAAGTTATATTTCAAGTATTGCTGTTACTCTGGCATAATTTCTTATGCATTTCTGGCTGGGTCTCTTAGGCTAGACACAAGGAGAAAGGCTTTTGGAGAAATAAGAGTCCTTATTGCCTTTGCTGCTGAACTAAAACATCTGGTTATTCTGATGTTTGGTGCAGAAGAAGCAACACCTGAGCCCTAGATGACTCAATGCTCATCAGAAACAATATTGAAGAAGGAGAAAAAGAAACCACAAAATGACCCTCAGGTGGGGGACAGGAGGTCTGTCTTAGGCCTCTTTCGA